TTCTAAAGAGATAACCTTGAAATATTCAAGCAACCCAAGCAATACACAGCTGCAATGAGAGCAGAACCACAGCACCACAGAGACAAAGCCCTTGGAGGCCCACCAAGATACCCCTGTGGACTTGTAAAGCATCTGAGTGACCCCTGTGTCTTGTCTTCATGGACAACTCAGGAGCTCCATGGGATTGCTGCTACTTCACCCACAGGCTTCTGGCAGCTGGCAAACCTGGTACACGTGGCAAAGGAACATGCAGGGCTACCCTCTTCATGTGGTCCCTGCAGCAGCAACAGATGTGGCCTGGGGAGACGTGAGTGAATGAGAGGAAAGACCCTGGCAGAGATAAAACCCCAGTGGTCTTTGAGCCAGAGAGGTGCCTCTCAAAAGGGAGCAGAAGGCAAGAGACTGTTTGGCTGTTTTCACATCTCCAGCACTGCTGCCTCTGGGCTGGGCTAAATAAATCCAGCCAGGCAGAGATGAGCACATTCCCTGTGTGATTTGAGTAGGGATGCTCCCCTCCAGCACTCCCTGCCCCTCTCCAGGACACAGGGGCTCTAAGCCATGCCCAAACCCACCCTCCCTCGCCTTGCAGGAATCACAAGGCAGAGCTCAGCAGCTCAGGAGACGGCAAAGGCATTTCAAAGGTACGGGGCTAAAAATCCAACCTGGAGACAGGCATCAAAGGCTCAGCATTAACTTGCTGTGAGGGCAGTGGAAACCTTCCCAAAGTCATGCAGAAACGGAGCAGAGCCAGAGCTTTTGGCAAGAACTCCTGCAACGTCAGCAAAAACCACTGCTCCACCTGATTGACATGCACCAAGGATCAGCTGCTCCAGAGTTCATGGCAATGTGTGTCCTTCAAAGGCAGCAGAATGGCCTGAAAACCAGAGAGGAGTCCCAAAATCTGGGATTCTAACCTCTTTTCTGATTGTACATTCGGCTCCTGGAATTGTCAACAATAACACTGTTTAAGGACTTTGCATTTTCACCACCTAATCCCAGGTAGGAGAGCACTGAACCTCTCCTGAGCCCAGGGAATATTCAGGGAAACCCGAGAGAACACAAACCACCAGCTTCATGGACCAGGGAAGCTGTGACAGCTCCTGGCTACCAGGAGATGCTTGGCCAAGGATGGATTTGAAGTTGTTGGCATTTCTGGTGTGTTTAGAGCTCAACTGGGCAGCACCAGGAAGCTGCCCTCATCCCACTGCCACCCTACACAGCAGCATCTCCTAGTAGAAGGAAACAAGCACTTGAGTGAACACACTGAGCCATAACATGCCCATCCCCAGCCTTCTGCCCCAATAAAGCCCTAAATCTTCACAAAAAACAAGGGTTAGGCAGCAATCTGTGCAGTAATTTGAGCTGGAGCACAGCCCTCTTAGCAGAAGGGGAACTGAGTGAGAAAAGGGAAATTAAACAGTCACAATGCTGTCCATGTGTGCAGAAAGCATCACACTGTGAATTAATCTACAGCTCCCAGGGAGGACACAGAGGACAAGCTGTAGATGGGAAATCAAAACCATGCTCCCAATTCCCTTGGAACTGAAGCAGGGACCCAGCTCCCCAGTGCTGAGCTCTCCCAGCCTCTCCTGAAGCCATCAAGAACAGAAACCTCTTGACATGTGTCTGGTTAGAGAAGCCTATTTTATCTAAGTTAGTGTTTTGCTTCACTTTTCTCAGTGGAGGCTGACTTCACACCTCCAACATCACACCTCTGAAATCTGCAGCAGAGCCACCCCTGATCTTCCCCCCCGGTACACGGGAACCACACAGAGAACCCCACAGGCTGGAATTACCCTCTCCAAGCACATCTGCCACTTTTCCATCTGTGCTCCATCCCTCAAGTCTCTCCAGGAAAATAAGAGAAATGGACCTGCTCACTGAGGTTTGAGGCATTTGCTTGAAATTGAAGCATTTTTTTGCTGTGGATTTGTACAAAATCCACACACCCATAATCCCAGTTCTATCATTCAATTTTAGAAGTCTTCTCCACAACCTCAATTCAAATGCAGTGTTCTCCTAGGGATCAGTGCCTGTCAGCAGAGAAAATCTAAAATTCTCAGTAGCCAGGTTCCAACATGTACTGATCCCCCACCCCTAAAACCCAGCAGCACCTGGTAAAAACTGAAATCACAGCCAGGTACAGTCGCAGCCCTGAGTGTCAAACCCTTCCCAGGGCTGTGCTGCTGCTCCTCTCCTTCCCCAATGAGGCTGCTGAGCACAGGGTGCTCTTCCCTGGGCAGCTCCATGAAAATGAGGCATTGTTTGCTCCCCTTTGGGTCTGCAGCTGAGAAAAGAAAACCCCCACCATTACCACAGACACATCCAAATCCTCCTGCACCAGTGGCGAAAGTAAGGAGTGAGCAACCCACACTGTGAGGAAGCTTCTGAAATCAGAGGCAAGATGCTTGGAAAACTCCTCCAAGCCCCATGACACAATTCCAGTGCCAAGGAGTTACTCAAGACGAGGATGGCAGACAGCAGGATTTCCCAGCACAAAGCCACTTGCTCCCTTAACCTACTACTTTACTCTTGCCACTCATAGAGAAAAAGAGGATCAGGGATTTCAGGCTGAAGTGGAGAGGTAAGCACCAGGAAAAATTAGCAGCTCCATAGTGACTTCTCTGAGGAAGGAGAACTGCATCCTGGGGGTAAAAAAGCAGGGTGGAATTTCACCATGGCCTGAGTTTGGTTTCGCTGGGATGGTAGAAATTAATCCATCAGCCTACACTTAATCCATCAGGCTCCTACACTTCCCTGAGTTTTGCTTTGAACAAGAAGGAACAAGCAGGATTAGAAAATCCCAAAATTTTCACTGCTGGACCAAGACAGGAGTTGGCAGGGATCAGGCAGGCCAAGGTGGGCTGGCAGAGCTGAGCTGAAGAGTCCTCTTCAATCACAACAGCAGTTAAAATAAACATGTTGATTTTTTAGCATTTCCAAACGTGATCTTCCAAGGATTTTCTGAATGCAATTAAATTATGTCCAACCAATCCTGTGTGGGAAGTTGTATTCCTTACATGTACAGGGAAACTGAGGCAGGAGCATTGCAGAACATTGTGACAGAGCTCCGAGCAGACTGAACATCCACTGGTTTCCAGATAGAAGATTATCCTTCATTTTTAGAGGACAAACACGCAAGAGGCCAGAGGTCAGGGTCATCCATGGAAGAAAAAAGCTGGGAGAGGTTTGCACATCCATCCTACACCCCAGAGGCAGTGCCCAGCCATCCTTTTCTTAACAGCACCAGGAATTTGCTCATGCTGGTCTTCATAAAACAAATATTCATGGAGGAATCCATGTCAGGACACACTGCAGAGCACAGGAAAACTCCCATTCCACAGAGCTCCGAGCAGACTGAACATCCACTGGTTTCCAGATAGAAGATTATCCTTCATTTTTAGAGGACAAACACGCAAGAGGCCAGAGGTCAGGGTCATCCATGGAAGAAAAAAGCTGGGAGAGGTTTGCACATCCATCCTACACCCCAGAGGCAGTGCCCAGCCATCCTTTTCTTAACAGCACCAGGAATTTGCTCATGCTGGTCTTCATAAAACAAATATTCATGGAGGAATCCATGTCAGGACACACTGAGCACAGGAAAACTTCTATTCCATAAGGCACAGGAAATCCACAACTGGAGAAACAACAGCAAGTCCAGACAGCCTTTACCCAAAAAAAACTTGGGACAAACACAAATGAAACTCCTGTTGCCTTCTCAAATGGAGCAGGGGTTCTTTTTCAAGGTTGGTTGGAGCTCATGGGTGGGCCAAACCAAAGCTTCCAGCATGTCCTTAAAACTCACTCCTTTGGCCTTCCCAAAGATTTCAGCATCCCAGTCCTCTCTGTGCCGCTCATGGATGTTTCCACCACCAGGATGGGCTTTAAGAAACCACCCGAGGAGAAACGAGGGGCAAGGAGAAGGTGAGAGAACACATGTTCAGAGCGCTACTTTGAGGGCATAGAGCAGGGCCCAGGAATGAACCACACATCCCCTGTGTCCGTGGGGACAATGTCCCAGGTGTGTCCCAGGTCCTGCCCCTCTATCCTGTGCCCACCGCAGGACACACCTGGCTGAAGGGAGAACCTCTGGAAAGATGGTTTTAGGCTGGACTCCAAATCCCTCCTGAACAGCAAAAAGGGTCCCCCCAATCCTGTCCTTTGAAATCGGGAACCCTGGTCAGGAGAATCCCAGTATATCCCAGCCAGCTACAACAGAGGGTCCCAGGGGTAACCCAAAGGTGTCCCTTTGACAGGGTGACTCCACACCCAGATGTGCCACCTCCACCACCAGAAGAGCTGTGTCCAACCTCATACCCTCAGCACAGAGGGTCTCCAAGGACACTCCCAAAAATGTCCACCTCTGATGCTGTGCGCCCTTGACCTCCATGCTCCTGTCCCAGAGTTCACCAGTATCCCTGGGATGTTTCTTGGGTGTGGGGGTCTGTACAATTGTCCCTCAGTCCCATGCCTCAGGCAGGAGATCCATAGGGACCCATCCTTCAACCCTACAGCCATGGCAGCAGCGTGTGTCTGGGGGGTCCCCAGAGTGTCCCCAGCCCTGCCCCTCTGCAGGCACAGCCCCCAGGCTGTCCTGGAGCTGTCCCCAGGCCCACAGCCCCACCCTCAACCAGAGGACAGCAGAATCCCAGAGCTGTCCCCAGCACCAGCAGAGGCGGGTCACCATGGATGTCCCCAGGCCCAGAGCGCTTGCAGAGCGGGGTCCCCAGGGCCATCCCAGCCCCACAGCCCCGCGGAGGGAGCGTCCTCCCGGCTGTCCCCAGCCCCACCTGCACAGAGCGGGTCCCCAGGGCTGTCCACACCAGCACAACACAGCACCGGCCTACGCGCCAGAGCCCAGGGCTGTCCCCAGCCTCACAGCCCCGGCACTGGGGTTCCCCAGGGCTGTCCCCAGCCCGCAGCCCAGGTGTGTCCCCAGGCCTAGTCCTTTCAGCACCGCGGGTCGGTGTCCGCAGCCCCCGCCGTGCTCCCGCTCCCACCTTCTTGACGGAGAGGGAGATGTTCTCCAGGATGCGGTCCTTCACCTCCGCCGGCTCCATGGCGCCTCCGCCCGCCGCCGCCGCCCGCCGCGTGCCGGCTCCGTCCTGCCGGCTGCCCGGCCGGCCCCGGGCTGGCGGCTCCGCGGCGCTCAGCGCGCCATGGCCGGGCGCGGGGGCGAGCGGACCCCGCGGGAGCACAGCGGAGTCGAGCCGCGCTGGGGCCGCGCTCCGCCGGGAACTGAGGTCACGGGAAAGGAGGGAGGGACGGAGGGAGGGAGCGAGCGGCGCTGCCCGCCCCGGGCCAGCAACGGGACCGCCCTGGGCCCGCAACGCCACCTCCCAAGGCCGGCAACGGGACCGCCCTGCACCGGCAACAGCGCCGCCCCGCCCGGGGATGAGGGGCCGGCCCAGCCCGGGATAGCCGAACCGAACAGGGCCGAACGGAGCCCAACCGGGCCCGGCCGAGCCCAACCCGGCCGAATGGAGCCGAGTGGAGCCGAACCCAGCCCGCCCCAAATGGCGCCGGTGGCGGGGGCACCCTCGTGACCCCGCGAGGGGACCGTGAGGGGAGGTGGCGGTGGATCCCTCATGAGCCCCTGAGGGGAGATGGCGTCGGAGACAGTTGAAGGGATGTGAGGGGATAGTGAGGGACGCGAGGCGATGTGCCTCTGCGGACAGTGAGGGAAGGTGGCACTGGGTTCCTCACAGCCCGGGACTCACTGAGGGGACGTGATGTTGAGGACAGTGAGGGCATGGAGGGAGGTGGCACTGGCTCACTCACAGCCCTGGGATTAGTACGGGGATGTGGGGGGAGATGGCACTGGGGACACTGAGGGGAATGAGGGGAGATGGCAATGGGGACACTGAGGGGTATGAGGGGCCTTGGGTCTGTCATGGCCCTGACCTCAGTGAGGGGCAGTGACATTTGGGAGACTGCCATGACACAGTGAGGGGACACAGGAGAAGGTGGCATTGGTTCTTCCACAGCAGGGAGGATGTGAGGGGGATAAGAGGAGTTGGTTCCCTCACAGTCCAGGGGGACAGGAGGGGACAGTGCTGGTGCCTTCTGAGTGGACACACAGTGAGTTTGGAGATGTGAGCTGCTCACCAGCCACCCAGCCCTCCGAGCCAGGGCCCAGCCTGCAGCTTTGCTGCACTTTGGGGTGCTGGCCTCAAAGGAAATTATCAGTGGTGAGGAAAAAATGGGGGATCCATATGGCACCCCACCACCTCAGGCTTCAGCAGTGCTTCCTTCAGTTCTGCTCCACCAACCTGAAATGGAGGATCCAGCTCTTTCCTGGGGTCCTGGTGCTGGTGGCACCATGGATCCAAAATCAGCCACATTGTTGTTCCATCCCAAGCCTCCATTGGTGGGAAAAGTTACTAAAAACTTCAAGTCCAAGCCCCACTTGCCATCACAGGACAGAGACAGGACCTGATGAAAAGGCTTAAGATAAATTACAAATAAAACCTGAGGCTGAGGTGAAGAGTTGTGACCTAGGGCTGGCCTAGCGCATGCATCACCCGACCCTGGTAACTGAAAATGGAACTGAAAGTAAAAGCAATTAAAAAACATGAAAGCCAGCAGCTTCCAGGAGTGCATTCTCTGCCATTCCCACCCCTTCCTCCATAAATAACCTGCTGGCAGGGAAGGAAAGGGCTGAGCAAGGGCTTGGATGGAAAAACCACGGCAGGCCAAGCCTGCTCTTTCCCTGCAGGGATGGCCCAGCCAGTTTAACAGCTTTGGGAAGGGAAGGGAAGGGAAGGGAAGGGAAGGGAAGGGTGCATGGGTTAGAACTGAGCCAAACCAAAAAACTTTTCCCAGCTCCCCACCAGCCTCTGGAGATGCAGAAACATTGCATTAAAGGGGATCCCAAGGATCAGAGCTTGTCTTGGCATGTGGGGAGGAAGGTGAGTCTCTCCTCCTGAAGGGGAGGGGGGAATGGAGCAAATTCTGAAGCCTGATCCCCAACAAGTCACTGGAAAGACTAAAATCAGCTGCTTGTAAAGCAGCCCAACAGATCCCCCACACCAGTATGTTTTCCTGGTGAATTTTAGGATTTAAAGCATAAAGTATAAGGCAAACAAGCTGTACAGCACCAGCAGGTACAGGCATTTGCATTCCTCCTTGCTCTGGAGGCACCAGGTGCAGCATTTACACCTGTATAATCAATCCCATGGGGGTTGGAGTGAGCTTTAAGGTCCCTTCCAACCCAAACCACTCTGGGATTCTATGGTAGAACAGACTTCCTGGTGTTTTGCTGTTTTCCTGAATGTTTTGAATGCCCTCAGTATTTGTTTTACTTTGAGTAAAACAAGTTGGTTATAATCCCTTAAAGCACCCACCACACAATTATGGATTTACATGGAAAATTCCCCACTCCCAGTATTTAGACAGCTCCCATTCTCCTTAGAACAGCTTGGGAGGATCCATCCCACTCCCACCACATGCTGGGTTGCTTCCCACCCTCTTCCAAAGAGATTTTTAACTCTTTGCTCAATATTTGCAGTCCGAAGTCGGCATGGAGAACGTTATCCCCAGAAGAGCCATCAGGTGCTTGTCATGGATGGAGAGTGAGGAAGCACAGAGCGAGTCACTGAGGGGAATCACCCCCTGCAGCAAGGTGTGTTACATGCAAGATACTCCCAAGATACTATCCAGGCAGTGCAGTCATAGGGCACCTCAGTAATGCTGCCAGTGATCCAGGGGGAAATTAAAGAGGCACAGGGAACACTTCAGGAATTGCAGTATGGATTCCAGGAGGAAAAATAAAATTAGTATTAGGAAAACCATGGAAGAAACTGCTGAGTTATAAGGATAAGTCAACTGTTAGCCCTGTGAGCACACCTCCATTTCCACAGGCACAAGTGGTTTGGTTTTAAACTCCTTCCCATTTCCATTTGTTAACACAGAGACTGGGAACCAGACATTCCTTTGGCAGTGGCTCTTGGGAGGGATTTCAGTCACCAACCACTCACATCCTTGTGTTTGACTCAGTGCTTTATTGGCAAGCTCACAGCACCTTGTAATTAGCACATGTGGTTGCTGGAGATAATTATGTCACAGTCTAGTGATTACACTTCCGGGGGTCCTGGCACCCCCAGTGTACCCCCAGGGAATGAGGCACAGCAGATAATCAATGTAAGGACACAGTCAATCAAAATCCAGGTGGGCCAGCAGGATTTCCCAAATCCCATTCTGGTGACAAACTGGCCCAAAAAGTGGTTCCCTTGGCAAAGCCACACCAAGCACGTGCTCAGACATGGGAGTGCAGAGGGGCTGGGCAGGGGCTGATGGGAGGCACTGCAGAATTCCTGAGCAATGGCTCACTTGTGTTCCTTCTGCTGACCATTCCTTGAACTATTCTGAGGCAGGAAATTGCATGAAGGAACACTCACCTCTCTGCATCCCACTCCTGCTCTTAATGCAGCCGCTGCATCCACGTGACTGCTCAAAAAACCTTCAGCTGTTATTTTTAAACTCCAGACCTCTGCAGGAAGTTTTTAGGAGACCTCTACTCCTAAAGGCCCATAAAAGATAACCAAGGATAACATAAGATAACCAAAACACCAACTTGGAGTCCACATTTAATGCACAGGGCCTGACCCTCTCTTGGCCATATAAGGGCTGCAGATTTCAGGGTGCCAATGCCCCCATTCATGGAATCCCAGAATGGTTTGGGTGGGAAGGGACCTTAAAGCTCATCCCATTCCACCCCTGCCATGGCAGGGACACCTTCCACTGTCCCAGGCTGCTCCAGGCCCCGTCCAGCCTGGCCTTGGGCACTGCCAGGGATCCAGGGGCAGCCACAACCTAACCCTGTTAAGCTTCAGGACATCAGGCCAATTCAGACTGGGACAATCCTAAACATGAACATAACTGTGCCATTAATCATAATTTTTACACATTACCAAAATAAAACCATGTTCATCAAGCAGAACATACAAGGCCCAAGTGCTCAAAGTAGTTTTGAACCAGAGCATTCCATCCTTAAATCATCTCCCAGCAGAAGAAATCGCAGCAATCCTTTGGCCAATGTACAATGAGGCTGTAGCAGCCCACACATCAAACCTTCCCTTTTCCCACCCTGAGAGCTGAATTCAAAATGGGGTTTGCATGACAATTAATGACCTCACTTAGCTCTAATGGTGACACCAGCATCACGTGCAGAGCTCTGAGCACATGAGGAGGAAACCACTGCCCAGTTTGCCACGGTCACTGAATCATAACCCATTGTGTTTGTGTCTGTCACCTGGCACCAGCACCCACTGCTCTGGTTAGCAGGGATTTAAAATGGCCAAAACCTCAGTGCTGTTACAAGGAAAAGTGGAAGTTTTTCTAGGTCTGAAAAAGGAACTGCTCCTCCATGAGAGGACCTTAGGGTTAGTGACTATGGCCCAGGTTTCAGAGGAGGAATATCCTCTAACCCTCCCTGCTAAAACCTGTTCTACTATGTGACACTAAGAGAACAGGACTTCAAAAAAGCCATTTCTAACTAAAACTCTAATGAGCTTTCCAGAGCTTTAAATGCCAATTTTTTTTAATGTCCCAAGAAATTAGCTTCCAGCTCCAGAAAAATAAATCTCCATCTGCTAACTGGGCTGGAAGTGAGGTATTCAGGTAAGAGACAAGGAGTGTCCCATTCAATTTCCCAGCAGACAGTGCCATGACCTAGTGCTACATTTTATGTTAACTCTGATGCTTTTTCAAGTCCTCCACAAAGGACCCAACAGCACATCCCCAAAGAAAGGGAATACAGGAATTTCATAAGTCTGTTCTCAGGCCCTCCCAACTGGAATAATTTTACACACAGATTTCTACTCATTCTATTCAAAATGGCAGCATTTATGTTCCAGAAAATCCACTTGCTTTGGGAAAAAAGGCAGTCAAGGATTTGAGTGCAGAGCTGCTAACCTCAAAAATACAGACAGACCAACCAAGCAACATTATGATAAAGTGTTTATTCTTTTTTTTTAAATATCAAATTTTTTTACACATAATTTGTTGATAAACAGTCCCCCAATATTAAAAAAAATCAAAAAAGAATCAAGTGTGTATTACTTTGGGCAGAACCACATCCCACTGATGACACACCCACTCCTCTCTTCAGCCGCCCGCGAGGCCGCAGCGTGTTCAGCCCACAAGAGTCAATGACACAAAACGCAACCAGCTTTAGGATTCCTGAGTATTGATTCCCTCAAGTTCCCTAAGTGAGTCTGTAAAACTCTGAAGCATCAGT